TTTTTTAATTTTTTTAATAAAATTTTAAATTTATAAACAATAAACAATATTTTTTTAAAAATATTTAAATTGACGTGACGGATTGCAACTTATGTTGCAGATTTTAAATGACACGACACCTTAAGTATGGAGGGATTAAGTCAATTTGAAGTCCTTTCCTTACTTTCCTAGTCATCCTTTTCCTAATGTCTTTGCAAAAATATTGTAATTAATTTAGGAAGGGGAAATCAAGATGATAGTAAAAGCATATATGTATCACCGGCCCAAATCACTTGAATTAACCCAGTTTAAAAATACCAACTTGAGAAAGTCTATTGAAAATTTTTTATTTTTAAATTTTTTTCATTTCATTGAATAGAACTTTTTACTCTATGGCAAGGACACAAAAAGTGCATTTATTACATATTTTAATACAAAATATAAAAGTAGATTTTAATTTGACAACATCCTATGTTAATCTCTCAAATTTATTCTAGATTTTTTATTAAACTTTTAAATTTTTATCGAAGTAAATAAACCTTTGAATTTAGTAACTTAGGCAATTTAAATCTCTTTCTCTCTCTTTTTTTTTATAGCATACTTGACACTCATTTGTGCTTTATTTTCATGAATAATGTTAATACTCTATTCGTAAGTAATGATATGTCAATAACTTATTTATGCAGGAGAGACACAAATAAACTTTATATTTATTATAAAAAAATGGTTAAATCGCTCAAATTGACATTATCACTCCCCCTTATCTTCTCCTTTACCTCACAAGATTCTCCCAAATCCTCCTTTTCCAAACCGTGACAGCAACGGCTTCACTCCTCTCAAATGCCACCATCTTCTTATTCTCATCCCTTCCCTTGCCATTCCCCTATTTATTTCCTCTCAGATCCCTTTAAAAAGTCCCTTCATAAGTGTGTTATCACCGTTCAATCAAACATAAAAGAGATCTCCATGCTTGACCTCAGATCCACCATGGCCAAAAACAAGATTGTTTTCGAGATCAAATCCAAAGGCAATAAGCTCTTTTCTAGGTGCCACAATTGGCATTCTCAGTAAGAGACATAGGAAAAGTAATGTTGGTTTGTAGATGAAAGAGAAGATGAAAAAGGAAAAATGAATTTCGATTGTAAATAATAAGAGAGAAGACAAAAGAAGTAAAACAAATTTGAGTCATTGAAGAGATAAAAGTGAAATGGAGAAAAAATGAATTTTAAACAAAAAACAACTCAGAAAAATGAGGCAGATGAATAGGTGGGAGTAGTAAGGGCATTTTAAGAGAACAGGGTAAATTTGGAAAACAAACATAATTAATGTAATTGATATGCCAAGACGTCAATTATTTAGAAATAAAATTTTTCCTCTATAACAACTAATAATATGGAACAGAGGGAGTATATTACTGTTATTATTATTATTTACTTACTTTAATTTTTCTATCTATTTAATTTTATTCAATTAAAAGTCTGCAAGAAATAAGAAATTTACTCTTTTTCAGAAAAAAAAAAAAATGCTAAGCAAGTATAGGTTGGTCAGGATTCATTTCATCACCAAAAAATCTCCTGGAATATTGTTAATAAAAACTATATTTTTAGACAAGAGAATTCTAAAATTACAATTTTATTTCTCATCTATTCATTAAAGTAACAAGGAGGGTTCATAAACTCTATTAGATAAGAGGATGCTTTTCTAGTTATAAATCTTCGGACGATGCAATTCTACAATTCCTCTGTTAATTCATTCCCCTCTGCATAGGAATCCTGCAAATTTCAAATAATAAAACTAATTAAGCAAAACATGCATAATTCTCAATAAAATCAAAATTAAAAAAGTACTAATTAATTAATCAGTCAATTATATTTGACAATTAGAGAGTACGAATAGCAAATTAATTAGTTCACTAATTAACAACATCCTAACATACTAAATCAAAAATGTTAAATTCAAATTTTTAGTTCCTTTATATCAAATTTAGAAACAACTAAAATCGGAAAAAGGAATGGATTACGTATCACAGTCAATGTCCGAGTCGATGGGCACCCGAATTTGAACACCACACTTTTGAGGCAACTCCTTAGCTCTTTCTGGGATGACCCCAAAGCCAGGGGCAGCATCCTTCAAACAATGACAAAGGTCCCGACGATCTTGGTTTGTAGAAGCTTCATGATTCAGGTTAGACAGGACTACGCAGCAAAGAACACTTGGGAATCGCGAACCACGCGTCAAGAAGGGCTTGCAACGCGTCAATGTGACTATGGCATCGGAACATGATATAGTAGCATGCACGCAGCGGCTACCCACCATGGCCAAAATGATCCCTAGCCCAAGAATCCATAAAAACCAAGACCAACATCCCATCATTTTCCTCTCCACTTTTCTTCTCTCAAACTATTGCTGTATGCTAGAAATTACTGTAACAAGAGGTATGGAATTTGCTCCTGTGGAGCAATTGGGTTTGCCTTGAAAACAATTTATAGGGATTTCCACCAAAGCTAATCAATGATTCATTAATATTTATAGTTGTAACCTTCCATTTCTGGATATGTACATACCAGAATTTGACCACCTCTTAATGACACGGTACCTTTAACTGAAAAATATAATTTGAATGACTGCATCAATAAGTGAATGATACAATACCATGCGTGGCTCTTTAAATAAAAGGGTGGTTTTTTTTTTTTTTTAAACTTTTATTTTAAGAGTTATTGTACTTTTTTACTATTAATTTATATGGATAATTATGAAAAATACTAATATCATATAAAATAATTTAATTAATGATTGATCAAACTTAAGTCAATTTTTATTTTTTTTATACAAACTAATGATGAAAAAGTATAATAAATATAGTTTTAACTAGTACCATAAAATTACATATTAAAAAAATTTTAAATAAAAATAATCTATTATATAATGTAAAGTCATATCATACAACCCATTAATTACTTTTAAAATCATTATATATGTCGTATTGCCTATTGAAAAATAGTACCTTTGAAGAAGAAGACCTGTAGAGTTATTTGCCAATGGTATTTGAAAAAAAAAAAAAAAATCTAACTTTCTCATAAATATGGTTAGGTTCGAATCGCATTCTCTCTCCTTACTCCTCTCCCCCAATAAAGTTTTTAACCAATTGACATATATTATTAGGATGCAAGGCTCTTGATTCTGAATGTCTTATGTTATTCATACAACTTGCACAATATATACAAGTCTCTGCAATTAGAATCCAAATACAA